CAAGGGTTGGGGACATTAGCCGTGATGCTCTTGAGTATTTGGGAACTCCACTGAGCCCCAAGCCTGCAGGGACTCTGGCCTTTTGGCATCTGGAGTCCTCCCGAAACATCTGGAAGGCACCAGGATTTGATCCAATGTCCGTTTAAAGTGGGAGGTTGGGCAGCCTTTGCCCATCAGCCCTAGCCTTCCAGAACTCTAGTAGTTTGGCCCTAACCACTACACCCACTGCCTCTCAGTACAGTCATGTCATCAAGAATAATCTATATTTTAGCTTCAAAACTGCAACGTAGGCACCACCAAGGAAATAATGAACAATAAGATTAAAACGGAGCATTTATACAGATGCACAAATGGAAAATGTATTATTTAAATGTATTATTTAAAATCAAGGTAGGTAGTCGTGGGGAATTATTGGGTGCATAGAAGCTGTACATCTGTCTCCTTCCTGATTGGGACCAACACCCCCCCCCCAGAAGCTGGCTGTTCCCCCTGTTTAGCTTTCTTGAGCTTGAAAGTTTGGGGTGCCCTTTGAAAGGGCCTTTCCTGATCTCCACCAGCCCTTCCAAAGGTGGAGTCTCTAAAACAGGTCCTTCCCCCCCCTCTTCTTGCAAAACAACAATAATAATATCATCATCTTCCTCTCAGCATTGTAGGACTGCAAGGGATGGATCCTGGAGTCCAGTCCCTTATCGAGAAGGTGAAGGATTCAAACTCCCAACCTCTCGAGACCTTGGGCTTAGTTGGTCACCGATTTCATTCATCAGACTTAACCCTTTCTCCCACCGAAGAGAAAAATCAAAGGGAGATTAAAAACAGAAGCCTGCCCCCCCCCAAAAAAAAACACACCTGGCAGGAACCACGCTTGCACACATTTAAAAAAAAGGTAGGTAATGAAAAATGTCACCACAACAGAGGGAGTCGGTATCAGGGCCCTGAACCACTCTCTTGAAATGGAAGACTGCACAACCACCTTGGGGAGATCAGATGGCCTTCTCTCTTTGGGGAGGGGGGCACAGCAGTCTGCCAGGGGCCTCTGGGCTTAAGGCTGGAGCAAGGGCTCCCGAGGACCGAAGAGGCCGCTGACCGCCGAGGGCAGGAGGAGGCTTCCCCAGGCTTTAGAAAGCATTCTTTGCCTGGAGGACAAGGACACTAGCTAAATACCTGGGTCTCCTCTCGAGATGGGCTGTCGCCACTAGACAGGGAGGAAATTTTAAAAATAAATCTCTCAAGAGGTCTCCTGGAGAGAAAGAGAGAGAAAAACCAGGTCTTTTTTTTTTAAAAAAGATTGACGTGGTCTTCTTTATAAAGTTGGCCAATGGTCTTGCCCCTTTGACCACGGCTGCTGTTCTTGGTGAGTTTGTTTTTTTTATCCCACTTTACTGACTTGCTTTGTTCTTTTATTAATTTTAAAAATCATCCTTAAATCTTTTTTTTTTTTAATTTTCCATGTACTTTATTCGTTTGTTCACTGTCAAGAGTCGTGCCTTACATGAATCAGATGGGGAGCAGCAGGACAGGAAATGAAAGCTTGGCCTTTTTTTTCAGAGCTAGGCCTAGCTCGGCTTTTTTTTTTTCCAGGTGAGCCACAGTTGGGTGTTTGCAAGTTACAGGTAAGGTAGCTAGGACTCCCAGGATGGAAGATAATGGTCCTTGTTGTCCAGAAAAATCCAAAAATCCTAACCTTAGTATTGATTATATCGTTAGTATCCATACCATTTCTTCTGATTAAGGATGGAAGCATTAAGGATTCACCATTTTTGGCCCTCCTGGCATTTTAAAGTCTGGCCTGCCATCCCCACCTTGCTGCAGCCACTAGGACCCCGCGGTTGGGATTTTTAGGGGTGTCCCTCAAGAGATTTTAGGGGTTGGCAGGAGCCGTTGCCCACTGGGTTTTGTGGGGCAGAGGGCCACGAAGGATGGGCAGGACCACAAGGACGGAATTGGTGGCGCAGGCTTGCTCTGTTAGGTCTTACGCCAGCCGTGTGTTAGGGAACGCCAGCCGCGCCACAAAGAGACCCAAGGGTCATCCTGTGGATGACGGGGCAAGGGTTAGGGTAGTGATCATATCACGAGGGTCGTGGGCAAATTAAGCTAAAGCGCTATACAAAGCAGAGTGCCTCTTTTTCAGGAGACGGTCACATTCACAAGAAATAGGCAGGGAATGCGCAGAAAGGTTTTAAAGCACAAGGGAATCGGGAAGAACCAGGCCAACGGCTTGAGTCAAAAGCCTCTCCCAACAGCGGCAAGCTCAAGAAAAGAAATTTAAAGGAGCGTAATGTAGGAAAGTGGTAACAAGTGAACGAATTCGGCAGTGCTGATTTCTTCCACTACCTCATGCAGGCTGGGGTCCCCAATTTCTTCTCCCGCTCTTCCCCCCCCCATTTAATTTTTTAAGTAAACACACCCAGAAATGTCTCTTTGCTGAAGACTATAATAAAAGGAGAAGATGGCTGTTACTCTCGTGTTCACCCAAGGGCCCAAATCAAACGGGTGCTCTGAGGAAGGAGACCAACTGTCGTGGCGGTCATTGGCTTTGTTCCTCTCCCACACAAGGATCGGTTGGTTGTAAGGAAGACAGGAGGGCCTGGCGTGCTCTGGTCCATGGAGTCACGAAGAGTCGGACACGACTAAACGACTAAATGGAATGTAGGAAAGTGGTAACAATTGAACAAATTCGGCAGTGCTGATTTCTTCCACTACCTCATGCAGATTGGGGTCCCCAATTTCTTCTCCCGCTCTTCCCCCCCCCATTTAATTTTTTAAGTAAACACACCCAGAAATGTCTCTTTGCTGAAGACTATAATAAAAGGAGAAGATGGCTGTTACTCTCGTGTTCACCCAATGGCCCAAATCAAACGGGTGCTCTGAGGAAGGAGACCAACCGTCGTGGCGGTCATTGGCTTTGTTCCTCTCCCACACAAGGATCGGTTGGTTGTAATCCCGCTCCATCCCTTTCTTCATTTACTCTTCCAGTTCCCCCCCGTTCGGCTGAAAAGGCAGAGTACTGCACCCGTGATCGGGCGTCCGGACACTCCCACATCCTACCTCCACACCTTCAAGAAATCTCCTCTGTCACGAGGGGTTATTCAAGAGGCTGCCCTTGAAGACCATTCGGAAATGTTGATCAAGGCAAAAAAAAACCCACACACACACACAGCCAGCGTTTCAATGGGAGGCACAGACTGAGAAAGTAGAAACGATTGTTCCCGAGAGCAACAAGAGTGCCATCACTGGAGTTTCCATCAGGGAAGAAAGACGAACAGATTTGGGGGAGAGAAACCACCGCTTCCAGGGGCCTTAAGGCATTGAGTAAGCTGCTGTGGGTCGGCTCTCACCTTTTCGTCCTCCAGATGTGCTGGACTCATTAACACCTAGAACTGTGGTTCCCAACCTTGAGTCTCTAGATGTTTTTGGACTGCAACCCTCAGAAGCCTTCACCAAGAGCGCTGCTGGCCAGGATATCTGGGAGTTGTAGTCCAAGGACATCAGTGGGGGGACCCAAGGTTGGGAGTCACTGTTCTAGAAGTCTCGGTGAGCATGACCACGCGTTGAGCCTTAAGGTCCAAACTATCTAGAAGGCCAAGGATTGAGAACTTATGCGGTGTGGGTGACGCCAGGATCTTGTCCCTACGGACCCCATCCTCTTTCAGCCGGACCGACGTCTCAAGAGTTGCAGTGATAAGCAGCAGAGCAATGAAAGAGGATGAGGAAAAAAGGACCACATCCTCGGCTCCTTGGAAGAAATAAGGGATTATACATGTGATTTTTTTTTAAAAAATGGTAAAGAATGGCCTTCTTAAAATACCGCACACCTTAGAAGGAATTTCCTTCCTATTCTAATTAATCTGGCTTTACATTTCTGTGCTATCACATCTCTGATGTTTCTTGGGCTGATAGTCAGCTGAACAAAAGGGTTGGAATAATTTCTAAATTTCAGTTACGGTCCAGATCGCTTTCTTTCAAAGTAATTTATAACATAATGAAGTGATAAGAGTTAGACGGCATTGACCTCACCTCACAGCAAAGCCACCCGGCCTTCGCCACTTGCTATCTAGAAGGAAGGATGACGTCAGAATGGAAACGGCCCCGTTTTTTTCCCTATTCTGCACTGAACCTGTAAAAGTTTGAAAACAAAACATGAGAAATGGTTTTGCACTACTTTTCCTCCAAATTAGCTCCCTGCAGACAGTAAATGCACCAAACGTACAATGATGCCTTGCTGAACGACGATAATCCGTTCCAGGAAAATCGCCATTAAGCGAAAACATCGTAAAGCGAAATTAAAAACTCCATTGAAACCTGTTCAATGCATTCCAATGGGGTAAAAACTCACCGTCCAGCGAAGATCATCCATACGGCGATCATTTTTGTTGCCTGTATAGCGAGGAATCTGTCCCTAAGCACAGCAGGGAGCCATTTTAAACACCCAGTGGCCATTTTGAAAACCCGACGATCAGCTGTTTTTGATTGTTGTAAAGCGAAAATTGGTTCCCGAAGCAGGGAACCGATCATTGCTAAGCGAACTTCCCCCATTTAGACCATTGTTTTGCGATCACAAAAAGATCATCGTAAAGCAGATTCGTTGTAATGTGGGGCAATCGTTAAGCAAGGCACCACTGCACTCTAAAGCGGTGATTTGAATCAGGGATGGGGACTCGAGTCAAGATGGACTTAAGTCACACTCCCACTTGGCTTGTGATTTGGAACCATCACCATCCCACCCACCGCTCCCTTTTCCTCCTGGGGGAAAGAAGCTTGCTTTCGACAGGAACTTGGACTCTGGGCTGGGGGCCAAAGACTTACCGCCGTCCCTGGTTGGAATTAGAATTCAGATTTACTGCTTGTGTTACCAAATGCACCTTCCTGGAGGAGAGAGGTGTGTGCAATGAGTGCCCCTCTGAAAGGGCCTACGCAAAACCAAAACCCAGGCCAAATGCCGAGGCGTCACCAAGGAGGCAGACGAACGGACAAAACACCAGGCGAGAAGGGAAAGTGGAAGTAAATATGTTTTAATGAATGAAACAACCTGGTGGGACCCTGCTAAAAAAATCTCTGCACGAGCAGAGCTTCTGTAAACCTTCGAGCGACGTGGGTTTCCCCTCCGTGGCTTGCTCACAACGCCCCGGCGCGTCCTTAGCCACGTGTGGATCCCTTGGTGGCCTCCTCCTTGGTCGGCACCTCTTGCAAACTGCACAGCCTCCCGCCTCCTTGCTTACCACGGTGGCGTCGGAGACACAATCCGTCTGGGCAGGGGGTTCACCTCTGCCAACAACAGATGTGGCGCCCCCCCAGGAAACCTTGTGATCCCCCCTTCCTCCTCCAGTGGCCCAATTTCCCCGTCCTGCTCTGTGTCTTCCTCTTGACCGTTTGAGCACAGAATCCAGGGCTTTAGGAAGAAAAGAGACTTTGAAAGGAGAGATACACTTCCCTCCCTTGAACGGACCAAAATTATGTACTTCCATCTTAAATAATAATTATAACAATAATTAAAAAAAGGGAGATAAGGAAAAAAAACTCTTGCTGATCTCTCGATTTGCTGCCGCCTGTCTTTGTTCTGAAGTCCCGTGTGGTCGTGTTTCCTCTCCCTCCGGCCGCCGGATGCCGCTCCGTCTTGGACTCTCCCCCGAGTCCCCCTGCGCTGTGCCTCCCCAAGGTCCTGTCGCAGCCGCCGCGGGCGGGCAGGGCCTCCTCTCACCGCCCCTTCGACTCGCCGTACGTGTTGCGCAGCATGGAGACCATCTTCTCCTCGCACGTGATTTTGGTGTCCTTGAGGATGCTGTACCACACCATGCCGGACGGCCGGACTTCCTCGCTGCGGCAGAAGAGGTAGGGGACGGTGTCGGTGCGGCGCTGGATGTACGGGCTCCGGAGCAAGGTGGAGCAGTGGCTGCTGATCTTCTCTAGCCTCCGAAGGATGAGATGGGCTTTCCTGGAAGGGAAAAGGGACACGTTGAGACTCTGGACAGCACGAACGGCCGAGGAGGCAGAGAAGCTCGGGGTGCAAGCACTGTTGACGGGCCGGGTGCCTCCGCGATACCTTGCGCAAGCCGCTCCAAATTCAGGCCAGTATACCAAAGGATGCAGGAGAGCGCCGCAGAGACCTCGGACTGCCAGGAAGAGGAACCAGCGGGTCCTAGGTCAAACCGAGCCTGAATTAAAACACTGGAGCCGAGGCTGTCCAACTTTGGGCACCTTGTGAGAAGCCAGGATTCTCTGGAAAGGACAACCAGGCTGGGCAAGGCGGAAGGCAGCCAGAAAAAGAGGGAGACCAATACACAAGAGGATTAACTCCCTAAAGAACCCACAGACTTGAATTTCCAATAACTAAGTGGGGCTACATAAAGACAGGACCCTCTGGGTGTGGTTGTACATTGAGGGTGATTAGGTAGCACGCAACAACAGACTGAAGTCAGCTCCTTCTTGTGGTTCTTCACACTTTCTAATTTGAGTTTCCAATAACTAAGTGGGGCTACTTAAAGGCAGGACCCTCCGGAGATCACTCATTCCTGGGGTGGTTGTACATTGAGGGTGATTTGGTAGCACGCAACAACAGACTAAAGCCAACTCCTTCTTGTGGTTCTTCACACTTTCTAGAGTCCGGTGGTTTACAATTGGATTGAAAATACCCTTCCAACATCATCGTCCTGTCCTCAGTCATCTACATGCAGAAGGTGGGTCTCCCCAGGTTGGGGAATGGCCATGCCAAAGTCTTCTCACTAACCAGCGGGCACTGGCAGGAATTCTGCTCCCCAGTGTAACTGGGCACAAATTCTTTCTGCAGCTTTTCACTTCCCAAGGTGTCCCAGGGCAGGCAGGAAGCATCGCTTCCCTTTCTGACATGGCTTTCCAACAGCATCACGTCACCAAGCCTCATTTCCATCTATGGTGCCATCGTGAAGCTAAACCAAAGCGAGGGTTCAGAAGCATTGCTCTCACTCTGAACTGGCTTCAGAGGTGATCATACAGCCGGATCTCGTAGGCTTATACTGTGTTGTTGCCAGCGTTAAATCAAAGCCTTGGTCTATCTCTAAGCTTGGAAAAGCGGCAGGACCAGCACCTCCCCAGGAGGGTAAATCTGTTAGAAAAGAAGAGGGAAGGGCTGTGGAGGAGGCCTCGCTGATGGCAAGCTCCCTTCCAGTCTGAAACAGACAACTGGGAATATATGGGCCAAGCTGCTGGACTGAGAATCTCTCCTTCGCGTGAAAAAGGTTAATGCAATGATAGCTAAAGGTTAGTCTTATCTTGGCCTGTCGTCCTCCATGGAAGGAGGAGACCAAAGAGAGGGGAGAGGGAACGGAGAGCCCTCAAGAGGGGGAGTGAGCTGTTTCTCCAGGAGATAAATTAAGGGAACAGCCGGTTTCTTGCCGTAAATCAAAGGCCGCCTCTCCTCCAAGCCCTGGGAAGCGGGGGCTTCAGAACCTGGAGATGAAATTGGCGCAAGGGCTGACTTGACCCGCCTCCCACTCTGGGAAAGAGGAGTCGCTTTTACGGGACATTAATTGATGGAGTCCTCCGAGAGGAGGGCAAGGGCGGGGGACCCACGAAAGGGAATTGCGTCGGAAGCCGTCCCTCCGGCTATAGGGCTACATCCACCCTGATACGTGAGCCCCGTCGGCTGTTCAACCGTTGGGAGAAAACAACAAGAGGGTTGGAATCTCATCCTAAAAGTGTGCCGCCCTTCCCCGCCCCTCCATCACGGAGCGTCCATGGAACGCAGCCTCTCTCGGGCCTTTGAGACGACCGCTCCCAGCTATGCCCACCCATCGCCCAGGGCTGGCGAGGGGTGATAGAAAAGGATGCCCACAAAGTCTGGTGGGTCCTAGGGTTGGAGAGAGGCGGTGCCATGCGGGAGGGGGAAGCAAAGCACAGCTCTCCAGATGTGGGTGGCCTGCAAAGCCCAGCCTTTCTTGCCATTGACTTGTCGGCACAGGTGTGACGGAAGGGGCGAAGTGCCCAGTCCTGCACTGAATCTTTCTTCCCAAAGCCTGCATCCTACCAAACTTTGGGGATTCGCTCGGACATCGCGGCAGCTCGGTGGCGGAGCCCAAGCTTTTTATGCACAAGGCCCCGGGTTCAGCCTTGCTCCAACAGAGAAGAAAACGAAACAGGACTGGAAAGCCTGCAATGGCAAACGCAGCTGCCGGAGAATTTGGTCACCCACCAAAACGAAGCACGGGTGTGCGTCTCGGGGTAAAGGCTCTTCTGGACACACCACGGCCACGGCATAAACCTTTTGGCTTCTGCCAATACCCTTTGGAAACATCCCTGCTCCCATAAAGCGCGTGCGTGTAATTTCAGATGAAAAATTTCAAAGAAAAGGTCTGGAATAGGTGTGGGAAGGGCAGAAAACCCTGCAATGAGTAGCCCCAGGTGGCTGATGCGACGTTGGCTTGTGTACGGATGCAAAGAGGCCGTCTATGAGTCCAACTGTCCTTTGGGACAGCTCCTTCCATCAGCTCCCACAGGTATGATGGGTAGGATGCATTCAAAACCGTTTTTCACATCAGGCAGATGGGTATAGCGCTACTGCCGTTAAGACGGGGTGGGGGGGGGAAACGTGAAAATGAAGGAAGAGGTAACCAACTGTGCACGCTCTGATTCATTGAGGAATCGTCCGGGTTGAACATGCAGGCGGGGCAGATGGAAGCAGGGAAACTGTCAAGGAGCTGATGAGAGGAAACCCAGATCTTCCCCAATTCCTACTAGCAAACACACCTTTTGACAATGCCAGCCTTCAAGGTAGCCACGGCAGAGTAGTCTCTAAATTGCCACCACCCAGAGCTCGTGGCCAGAGTGTGGATCAATCGCAGGCAACATTTCAAAGGAAAGCTGCAGGTGAGAGGAAATGGCGCCTGCTTTGAAGGCCTCCTTCTCCGCAAAGGGCAAAAGGCTGCGGTTGACGAATCCTACCAGAGTCGCCTGCCATGAGGTTTTTACTAGGCTGCTCTTCTGCAAGACGCTCGGAATACCTTCCGGCCAGTGCTGCGGAGATGGCCCTCTCGGTCTCTCCAAACTAACACTGGCTAGGAATTTTTTTGAGGAGGGATGGGGATGTTTGCAGAGGTACCAAACGGGGCTGCTACCTGGAATGTAGGCAGTGTTGCCTGATTTTGGAGGCCAGGCAGGACGAGGCCTGCTTAATATATGGATGGAAGACCACGGAAGCGAAACACCAGGGAACTCTAGGTGGTTGCTGGGCAAGCCTTTGCTGCCATTCAGAGCTGACCATACTGGGTGAGGCTGGACTGATGATGGGTCTCAGTACAGCTCAGCTGGTGTACCAGGCAGGACTGGAGCCGGAGAAGCTGCTGAGAGACACCTGGCCGGATATAACTAAAGCCACGAGGAGTGCAGACGTTTCGTGCCTCCTTACAAACCTTCTGTCGGGTGTGTCTTCTTGCATGCTTGTGGCTGTCCCCAAAACTGGCCACTGGAGGATTTGGTTGTGACATATTTATGGTGCGGACACAACGGATTCCCCTCTTGTCACTCCGTTTTACAGCCCAAGGTCTCATGCGGGTCACTGGTTCAGCCCATAAATGTTTTTGAGGTCGAGGAAATGAGTGAGTTCCTGAGGACACCAAGGGCCTGCCAATTAAAACCTAGTTAAGAAGCGTCCTGATCCGTTCAGTCTACAGGCATCATACGAAAAGCTGGATTAGATGCACGTGAAGGAGGAGTGAACACTGGCAGAAGAAACATCTAGAATTTAAGAGGTGTGGAAATGGCAGTGCCCTTGAAGCAGTTACTGATGAAGGAAGGAAAGCCAGCGCTGAAGGAAGGAAGGAGCTGATGATGGAGAGAAGGAAGGAAGGAATCAGAAAGAGAAAGGAAGGAAGGAGCTGATGATGGATAGAAGGAAGGAAGGAATCAGAAAGGGAAAGGAAGGAAGGAAGGAGCTGATGATGGATAGAAGGAAGGAAGGAGCTGATGATGGATAGATTGAAGGAAGGAAGGTTGGTTGATGAGATAACAAAGAATTTACACTTAGCATCATCTCTGTAGGAGCCATACTTGAATTTATACTCAGAAGAGTTGCAAACAGTTGTTCAGGACCGTTTACAACAAGGTGGGTGGAGTTTTCGGGCTGGGCGGGACCCTTCCTGACCCCATTCAACCAAGTCAACATTCTGGACTGATTTTGGCCTTGTCTGATTCTGCTGCCGTTCCTTCATTGTTTGGTACCATACAGCCTGACAAAAGACTTCCATGGAATCCCAAAGCTTGCACGCTTGGGTTGCCTTTTGGCCGCGCCCTAAATCGACCAACTAACTGGCCAAGTCTGGGGTCTCTTTCCATTCACAAACTAGGGGGGATTTCATCAGGACGAACGCTGGAGTCTCACGGGCTTCAGGAAGCGTCAAACCATGGAAGAGAGAACAAGCCTTTCCCCAAACCTTCCCCCTTGTTATTTTGGTCGGTAGGGCTGACTTCGATGGATCCCAATTATGGAAAAAGGTGGCTTTTGGAAGACTGCTCGGAGGGCACAGGAGGATAGTGGAATGCATTCCCTTGGAGGGGGTGGTGGCTGCCCCTTCTGGGGAGGCTGCGAAACAGAGGGTTAGATGGGCCACCTGGTTGAGAGGCTGTAGATCTCCATTCCCCACACGGGCAGGGGTGGTGGTGGACCAGGTGACACTCAGAGTGCCTCCCGACTCTACAGCTTGAGGGCTCCTCTTTGGAATGCCTTTTCTTTCATATTTCCCAAAGTTGGGTCCAGAGACGTTCTTGGGCTAACACTCCCAGAAGCCTTCCCCAGCAGCTGGCCTGCCAGGAACTTTGGACGCTGCAGTCCAAGAACATCTGGGGACCCCAGATGTTCAGGCACCCCTTCCCGAGGACACCTCCCCCCCTACCTGGGGCCCAGTTCGTCTTCGCTGCGCCAGACAAAGTCCCCGAACTTCTCGTAGTGGGCGTTGTAGTGGTGCTGGATGCGGAAGAGCATTGACACAGAGACCTCCATCAGGCTGTTGTAGGCGGTCTGCTGCTCCTTGCCGCTGGTGTAGCCGTTGTACAAGTTGTAGATCTTATCTGCTATCTCTGGAGAGGAAGTGGGAGGAGGAGGAGAAGGAGGAGGAGGAGAAGAAGATGGGAGAACGTGATCCTCCAGCGAGGCTGGGATCAGGGAAGAGATGATCTGGCCCCCGGCAGGACAAGGAGCAACCCAGCCTTAGGACTGGAAGCAAGGGAGGGAAGGGGGATCCTCCCTTTGAGAACAGAGTCTTGAACTATCTTCAAACAAGGTGGGCAGCATGGCAAGGACACAGCCCCCTGTGGCATTTTTGTCACCCTCCCAAAGGCCCAGGAGACCCCCCCTCTCTCTGTGTGTGCATAACCACAATGGCCATTTCCCTTAGAAGCAGTGGGTAGGTTGCTTACATCTTTTTCACAGATCAAACAGATGAACAGTCCTCTTTGCGTGCTTGTGGCTTTGCATAGCCAAGGGAAAAGGCACTGATTTTGTGCACTGACATTGCCCACAAACTGTGTAAACCTTTTTAAAAAAGTGATTACTGCTCTATTCCGGCTCTTGGAGGCCAGGAATCTCATAAGGGTTAACCAAGTTTTTTGTGGGCTTTCTCAATGTGTCAACACGCTGAAAACAGACAATCCAGTGAGATTTACTCACATCTTGACTGAGTGGAAGAAAGATTGCCAGTCCGGTTCCAGAGGAAATCTGAGTGGCAGATATGGCTCAGATTTAACCTTCTGAGGTGTGGGGAAGCTATAGAAATTGAGATATAATTGAGCATTTGAGCGGCGTTTACCCTCTGCCTTGCTGTCATCCACCAACGGGCAGGCTGTTCTCAGGGTGACCGTGCTCAGTTCGGAGTGTCTTCCTCGGGTGTCCACAGCATAAAGGGTGAATCTGGAAGAGAAAAGATCTGTAAAGGACAAGAGGTAGCATGAGGGGCGTCATGCTGAGAAGTCATCATGGGTAACGCAACAAGCATGAGGGGCGTCATGTTGAGAAGTCATCATGGGTAACGCAACAAGTCCCTTTAGAGCAGTGACTCCCAACCTTGGACAACCCAGATGTTCTTGGACTACGAACTCCAGAAAGCTGGTAGTGAAGTCTTCTGGGAGTTGTAGCCCAAAGAACATCTGGGGGCCCATGGTTGGGAACCACTGCTTTAGAAAAATGTTCTGCTCACAGGCGAAATCTGAAGGGTCAATCGAGGGGAGGGGAGTTGGGACCCTCCAGGGGTCTGGGACCTACAACGTCTGTAACCCTTGACTACCAACTGCCTTTGATGGTAGCAGTCCAAAATATCTCGGTGGCCATAGGTCCTCCACCCTTGCTCAAAGACGTCAGTCCAAAACAAAGAGAAGCCCAGGGCAGCTTTGAGCAGCGAATTGGGTTCTTTCACCATGCGCCGTCTATAGCATGTTATCCTCGCCCTTTTGGGACATCTCGCTCACCTGGAGGCCCAGGTAAGGTGAAGCATGATGCCCTGCCTGAACCCTCCAGTTAAAATGGATGAGAATCAACCGAACAGGCATCCTTCTGGGTCTCTCTTCTTCTTCTTCTTCTTCTTCCCATAGCGGCTTAGCAGGTTTGACCCACCATACGTGGCGGTTAAAATGGAGGAGAATCAACCAAACAGGCATCCTCCTGGGTCTCTCTTCTTCTTCTTCTTCCCATAGCAGCTTAGCAGGTTTGACCCACCATACGTGGCAGCCTCAGAGGCACAAGAGCAGGGGAAGCGCCTGCCTCACTGCACTGCACAGGGGCAAATCCGTTATTTGGGCACTGGCCACAGGAAATCTTCCCAGTGCCTCTCCACACCGACTGGGGAAGATACACATTGACATTAAATCCTGGAGCTAACCAGCTTTTGTCGTCTTCTGACACCATACAATCACACTGCCTGAGACAAGGGCTTCATTCTGCTCAACAGCACAGATGGCCCTGCAAGACAGAATCGCCCTTCGGGGTAACGGCAGCTTCAAAATGCCGGCCAACGGCAGTGTGGCCAGCACAGCAGGGGGCAGGACACAGAAACGGGAAGAGGAGACGCCAAGCAGTGCACGGAGAGGTTGGCAAAGCTTAGCACGGCCCTTTTAAGGTGTAGCCCGAGAGACGGTGAAATGCTCTTTGGAGACCGGAGGCAGGATGACAAGGGTAAAGGCGGGGATGGGAGCAGAGATCATGGAGGCTCCGATTTAACTGCAAGATATCCCTGTGGGACCAAAAAGAGAGAGGCAGGGTCCGGGGGCCGTGAGGATGGAAATGAGGACCCCGAGCAGAATCACCGAATGATCCAGTCGGCAGGCAGGGCCCCACGAGGGCCTCTCCGCTGCCCCCTTGCCTCCGGAGGAAACCCACGACTGAACCCCTCGGACTGGACCTCTGTTTTAAAGCCTCCCAGGAAGAAGGGCCTCTTGTCTGCCGAAGGGATGTCTTCCAGTAAGCGGTGGGCTTGGACAGGAGGTCCGTTTTGAAGCCTCCGAGGAAGAAGGGCCTCTCGTCTGCCGAAGGGATGTCTTCCAGTAAGCGGTGGGTGCAGAAGATGCTTGAGGCCCTCATTTCCCCCTTGATGGCTTGTTCGGCATGACCCTGCGAAAGATGCCACAGGGATTTGATGAACTGCCCCTGGGACGCAACCAGGCGTATCACCTTGGCAGATTCCTGCAGCATCTTTCCAAGCCGGGGCAGTGTGTGCGTGTCAATACTGAGCATGACCCTTTCGCTTTGACGGTCAGAATCATCGTCCTCATAGAGCTGCAGGGCTGGAGGGGACCCTCTGGCTCATCCAGTCCAGCGGCACCAGGAGGGAATCGAACTCCCAACCGACCTAGGAACGGCGGCGCTTCTGGAGGAGTTCTCCTGGAGGAGGACCCGGCAGCCCTACAGCATCTGAGAAAGAGAAGTCTGAAGGCCACCCTTCCTATGGAGGATTTCACCCTTCCCCCCAAAAAATAATAATAATAATATGGGATGAGATCTACAGCAGGCGACACAAACCCTTTCGGCTCCCAGAAGTCTATGAGCCGATTCTGAGCAGATGGCCGGCAGCCGAGGGCTGTGAAGCCCCAGCATGGATGGAGACAACGTTGTGTCTCTCTTCCCCCATAAATTATTCTCCGGCAGAGTCTGGGAAGCAGAGAACACCATTGTCTGGACAGGCACGCTGGCTCACGCCAGCTCTTTTTGCTTTTTTTCTTTGGGAACGGCCTGGTCACCTGGTGCCTTATTGCACGTTGGGGTCAACGACCATGGCAAAGAAGAAGAGTCTTGATTTACCATGGTGGGGGTGAGGTGGAGGAAGCCTCCCCTTTCCGTGACAGCTCGTTCCCTCACAGCTGGAAGGGAGGAACAGAACAATCCGAGCAGGAGCAGCGGCGTCAGGCCTGCTCCCCGGGAGGCTGCACGGGAAGAGATCACAGCGTGCTCAGGTTTATTACGTAGGGAACACGATGGAAGGGACAAAGAAAAGGCCAGGAACCAAGGAACATCCCTCCAGACCAAAACTGAAAGCTACCAAGAGCTACCACGCCAATAAATCTCTGCTTTTGTCCGAAGCACGCTCTGCCAATGGACAAAGGCGTAGGGTGAGCACGGGGGGGGGGCAAGGCGGAAGACGCTCGGGCCACCGGTGGCCGCCCTGGGTCCACGCTCAAGGACCACTCCGAACTGTTCTCCTTCAGAGTCTCACCCGTCCATAGCGAGGGCGGACAGTGACCCCCTCGGTCTTTTGGCCACTTCCACCGGTCGCTGTTCCCCGCAAAGGATTTTTTAAAAAATGGGGCGAGAAGGCAGCCAGGGAGGGGCTCCAAACTTGACGGTGGCTTTTGAACACCAACCCAAGAAAAAGAGACCTGGTCTCCTCTGAAGCCTCTGTTTGCCAGCCAGGTTGTAAACACAGGGAGGCATGGGGTGGTGGTGGTGGTGAAATCCTGCCCTACAGAACAGCAGGGGTTTCTCTGTGCGACTTGCGCAAAAGGGATGCAGATCCCAGTGGGAGAGCCTCCAACCCTCCAGAATTTCAAGGCAGCCACAGGCCAACGCACTGCAACTCCCTCAGATCCTGGTGCAAAAAAAAATGCCCACTCAGGCGGCTGCAATTTTTAAGTATATATTTACACAAAGATAACCCAATCTATCCGCTAAAGCCACAAGAATTCATTTCCTCTTTTTGATGGCAACGCTGCGCTATGGCATAATTAAGGAACACCACAACAGCCTGTAA